ATTAAAATTTTAATTATTTTTTGAGAGTTAAAACTGATATGCACTTCTTCCTTAACATTATATACATGAGAATCTAGCAATTAAATAAGTAACGATAGGGAGAACAACCAGCACGGAATAAAATTAGGGGACCATTTACATCAACGGCATATACAAGTCACATAGATACACTCACAACTGACTTTATTTTTTAATAAAAAATATGTTTAATTTGTAAAAGGAGTTAAAGTTAATTCCAAATTCTTAAACCCAGTTGCTTGCTCACTTTCTATTTCCGTGCCTGCTTGCATTACATCTCTGTAGAATTCTTCTTTCTTTGCCAAAGTTTTATGGCTTCAGCATCGATTTGGTGAGTTCCACTGGAGCTAAACTAACTTCTTTTTTTTTTTTTTTTTTTGACATTGAACTTGCTTGATTTCTACATGGGATTTGAGTTGATTTCTATGCCGTTTTGATTGTGGAAACTCTTAGAGGAAACCATCAAAGGAAATCAAAGGAATTACAAGAGAGATGATCAATGAATTTTGAGGAGTAGAACGAAACTAGAGTCTCATCTTCGTCTTCCTTATCTTCAGTTTGGTTGGTTCGCCTCCTCGTTATCTTTGTTTGGGTGATTAGGGCTTAGTTCTTCGTCTTCCTCCTCTTTGATTTGCACTACGGGAAACACCTATACTTCAGACCGAAAAATTGGTATGAAAATAGGAGAAATCGGCCTGAATATTTATATTTAGACCGTAACCAATCTGGATAGTTGGTCTGGACAAAATCAATCTGAATAACTTTATATTCAGACCAATAGAATATCAATCTGAATATAAATTATTTTCAGACCGAAGTTGGTTTGAATAATGGTTGAAAATTTTGACCATCCATACTTTCAACTAGACTGAAAGAGGTCTGAATATACAAAACATTTCAGACTAACAATGGTTTGAAAAATAGTGGCCTTATTTGCGAAACCGAAAAGATATGATCTTAATTTAGATATAGTTTGAAAACTTGTTCAGATCGAAAATGGTCTGAAAAATAATGGACTTATTTAGAAGAGTGAAAAAGTCTGGTATCCATGTGTCACTATGTTAAAATACATTTCAGACCAACTTTGGTTCGAAAATTTGTGGCCTTATTTAGATAGATAAGAAAGTTTGGTATCTTGTGCCACTTTGTTGAAACTATTTTCAGACCATATTTGGTCTGAAAAATATGGCCTTATTTACAAGAATGAAAAATTTTGGTTCCTATGTGTCATTATCTTGAAACTATTTTCAGACCATAATTGGTTTGAAAAGTACCGCACATTCCAAAAAATTTTTTTACAGCTGGATCA